ACTAAAATCGTAAACGATTTCTCTGGTCTATGTTATGAAGACAGACTTTACGTACAAATTGTACCTAACTGATTTCCGTTATCTTACTGTAGAATACGGAGTATTTAATATTGGTTTATCGTATACTGAACGGAGAATTCGGTGTTATTATGTCTTGTCTTTTTCTCCAATCTAGGATTGATCATTTGAGAGAACATTCTAAGAAAGTTTAAATACAGAGATCAAATTGTCTACGTCTGAATTTTCGTTTCTCGCACCAAGTGGTGAATTACTGGAATTCTCTACCGGAATACGTAATATCAGCACCTTCTGGTGGTATATTCTAAACGAGATTGGAACTCAACAGTGTTGCAAACTTCAAGGATTAATATAGGTCTATGGACCTCCTATCCTTATTAATGATGACTGATCTCTTTTAAAGTACGAAAACACAAGTTAAAGGAATGTGGACCTGAATATTAATGAACCAATTATGAACAATCAAAAAATAACTTCGAACGTAAAACTATGGATCTACAGGATTAGTTCCGCTGGAATTCCCCAATAGTGATGGGATCCAACATCCACAAAACGGCGCTTGGCTTAATGTTTGATTGTTACTGCACTAATTACGTATCTACCAACCTACATGAGCAGTTTGTGACCAAATTTTACTTTCAATCGACTTTCCTTTGTTGCGTTTTTAACTTTAGCATTTCGTAACATTTTTAATGTAGCATTAGGAACGCTGACTTTGATATTAAGTAAAGATTCGTTGGTCCAATACGAAACAACCGTCAGTATAATTGGAGTAAACAATGTCGTGGTATGCTAACAGTTCTAATTATTCTTCTCTATAATCTATATTAAGGAAATCTTTAGGGCGTTTGCTATCAGGAATTAAAGGAGCTTACAATGATATAAACCCTGCGACGTTAACTGGAGCCATTGATGTGATTGTTGTCGAACAAAAAGATGGTTCTTTCACTTGTGGACCGTTTCACGTTCGGTTCGGGAAACTAACAGCTTTCTCTCCAACGGATAAGGCTGTTGAAGTCTATGTCAATGGTGAATTTGTTGACTTTCTACAGATGTCTTTGGGAAGTGCCGGTGATGCATACTTTGTAGACTCTTCCGGTTCAACAACAGATGAATTCTTAACGGCAGATCCCAATGACTGCCCAGGATTCACATATGATGACTCATGGTCTGAGATTCCCGTGCGGCGTCATTCACGAAAGGTTCGACGGGACTCTGCAATGAGTGAACCGGGTACAGAATCTAACTCAATAAAAGAAGATATAGATGAATTATGTGGGACAAGTTACGAAGTTTCATCTGATTGTGAAGCCTCAAGTGATAGGCTTAGAGACTGCCGAAAGTGTCGGAATTCTGTTGGTGATAAGTTTGGTTCTGACAGCCAGTTGGACGAAAGTTTAAAGGATACTGTAAGCAATTATAGTTACGATTGGAATCTGACAAAATATCAGCCACGTGGTAGCAGTTCCTGTGTCGTTAAAGATGTCACAAAAAGTGATGTACAAGACCCTCATCTAAAAAACTTTACACATGAAAAAGAAGTGTACCTGGAAGAACTAGTTACATCGGAAGTTGATCAAAATATTAAAGAGGTGTATATCTACCCCCCATCTCACGGAAATTTTCCATCTCAGTGTCAAGGATCATGCAACACTACTGACAGCAACTGTGTTGACTATGGTTATCGTTCCGACAACGAACACTCTCCGAGAAGCATGTCACCCATCCATCCCCATGATTTAAGTTTAAGACTCTCGTTGTGTGGTGGTTTATCTTCAGATAATCCTTGTTCTGAGGGGAAGTTTGTAGAGCACATAGTTTCTTATGAAGAATTTATACGTGACCCTAACACTATTTTATCTAATCCCAATCTTGTTGTTTACTTCAATGGACGTTATTGCAATTGGCAAGTAACTGCTCCTTCTATTGTCAGTTTACTTGCCTTTCAAACACAACTACCTTATCTGACTTTACAAAAGCTAGAAAACCAGTACCTACCCAAAAAGCAGTCTCGACGTACCTCATGGTTCAGCTGGGGTGCAAGTCAAACACGAACTGTTGCTACAAACTCCGTAATCCCTGCTAAAGAAGTCGATAATGTTGAAGAAAAACGGCTTGATTCCAGCTCACAACCACCTCAGGTAAGTTTGTCTTTGAGGTTAATTAATACTTCTAGGTACACACCACTCACAGAGTTACTAAAATCAACAGACTTTCTTCAAGTGAAGTATCCAGATTGAAACTCAAACCTGGACGAAATGATATTGAGTTTCGTGTCACCACAAAGTATCAAGGGACTTGCACATGTTCAGCTTCTATTTATTATTGGCATTGGTATGACAAAATAGTTGTTTCTGACGTTGATGGAACAATTACACGTAGTGATTTACTTGGACACTTGCTTCCTATGGTAGGTCGTGATTGGACACACTCTGGAGTTGCTCGACTGTACAACCGAGTTAAAAATAACGGTTATCAGTTCCTCTATCTTTCAGCCCGAGCTCTCGGACAAGCAGGTATAACTAGGAGCTATTTGAGACAAGTCGTTCAGGATTCATCATCCAGGTTGCCAGATGGACCAATACTATTGTCTCCGAATTCTCTTCTCCATGCCTTCCACCAAGAAGTCATTATTAATAAACCAGAAGTGTTTAAAACGAAATGCCTTCAAGATGTATGTTGCCTTTTTCCGAAGGGATCCTCTCCACTGTATGCGGGATTCGGTAACAAGGTTAACGATGTTTTCGCATATCAGAAAGCTGGGATCGAGCTTTGCCGAATATTCACAGTTAATCCACGAGGAGAAGTTCGTAATGAATATCAGTCCTTAAGAAGTACAAGTTACCATGAGTTGGGAGATTTAGTGGATCTTCACTTCCCACCTCTTTGTAAGTACCAGACTACACATATACCACATCCTGTTGACTATCATTCTAGTTGTGTTATAAAGTCAGAAAATTCGACGCCAGCTGTTGCACATCCACCTGACACATTTGACCCCGTATTTGTTGATTTAACCACGTTCTCTAGTTTTTCGTTTTGGAAATCTAATTACGAATTATCTTTTCCTTTTCCGAAAACACTGGAAAATTCTTGATATATATATATATGTCTGAAGTACATTTTCAAATCGCCTTTCTTGTTGCTCGCTTCCATTCTAGTAACATAACTAATGTAGTGTTTATCTTGCAAACAGACACCCATATTTTTCAACATATTTGCCTTTCTGTTTTATTAAGAATGTTACAGAGATTATTATTTTCTACTTTACGTACAAATTGTACCTAACTATTCGTAAAAATGAACTTTCTGAGATCAATAAAATGATAACGAATTATTTGTACTTTTCATACTATTTTTCAATAAAATAACTGAATACACACTAGTTGGAACTTTTAGGCTCTATCGGAGAACCTATCAATAGATAGTTGTTTTGAACAGGCCGCAGCGCATTTGACCGAAATAGCTTATTCTCTGGACTCTAACACGTTACTCTACTTCTACGCTAGGTACAAACAGGTCAGTTACCGTTTGAAATTTTGTAGTTTGGCTTGTGTACAAATCGTAACAGAATATTTCCGCAGCACATTTACATCGATCCAGCCCACCGGCAACCTAAATGTGTCTTTCTTAGAATCATGTCCTGAAGCTGAATGTGTACGCATAAAAAATTCACTTCTTTGTCCTTAATAAGTTACTAACTTGCGCCTGTTACGCCTCGTGGAGGAGCATAGGCCACTCACCAGCATTCTTCATCGAACTCTGTTCCATTTATTTATTTGGACGCATAAATATTAGTACAAAGGGGCACCGAATACATATGCGCAACACAAGTCACTTGATTTGTGTGTGGACTGTGATACTGTCCGGGTGCTCAGACTAAAGCAGGTGGTTTTCTTAGGGGACCACATCCGGAGCCTTCGATCTAAAGGTCTGATCCACAAGGCAGTGGAGCAACATCAGAGGTGCAGTCCCACGGTAGCCGATGACCAACGATTGGTTTATACGCCATTTGTTCCTTCAGGATACTGGAGCCCATGTGGAGAATTGGTTTGTAATCAGGGTTTCCCAACTCCTAGATGGATCCTCCATATCCACCAACTCGGTCATTCTATTTTCGTTCTCTCAATTTCGTAAACAACACCCCCGCTGCGAGAAGTCAGTGAGTAGGACTTTCCTAACAGTGACTGTATACGCGTAGCCGTGTGAGAGCATTTGAAGAGGGAGCTAACTCTCCACACCCTTGGCCGTACCAAGGCATTTGGGAGCAGTTTTTTCCAGTTGCTGATCATCACTTTGATGTCTGTCTCATTCCCGGCACAGTGTTGCTCAAAATTCCTTTTTTTCCGTTTCCCTTCGGGATTCCAAGTCAGAGCCTGCCTCGTAATGGAGTTTGATGACTCCCACAATGTATGTCCCATCCACCTTCAGCATCTTTTACTAATTTCCTCTTCGTCTGATGGTATCCGGTCAAAAGATATTGAATATTGAGTGAATACATGTTCCCTTTTTATATTGATGGTTGTAGTAGTTCTCCATGTTTCAGCTGCATATAGTAGGATTGTGTTGACGTTCGTATTAAAGATTCTCATTTTGATATTGATTGACAGTTGTTTTGATTCCCATATGTCCCTCAACTGTAGGAATGCTGTCCCTGCTTTGCCAATCCTTACCTTTACGTCGGCATCAGATCCTCCTTGTTTATCGACGATACTGCCCAGATAAGCGAAAGCTTCCACCTCTTCCAGAGTCTCTCCATGAAGTGTGATTGGGTTGGTATTCTCCGTGTTGTATTTGGCAATCTTGATTTTTCCCTTGTGTATGTTGAGGTCTACTGACGTAGAGGCTGCTGTCACACTGACTGTACTCACCTGCATCTGTTGGTGTGTGTGTGTGTGGGATAGAAGAACCATGTCATTTGCGAATTCCGAATCGTCTAGTTGCATGTGAGCTGTCCACTGTGTTCCGTGCTTCCTCTGAGATGTCGAGGTCTTCATAATCCAGTCAACCATCAGAGGAAAGAGAAAGGGAGGAAGTAAGGAGCCTTGTTTGACTCCGGTCCTGACTTGTAATTGGTTTGTGAGCTGTCCTCCATACACGACTTTGCAGTGTAGTCCATCGTATTCATTCCGTATGGTGTTGATGATTTCCCCTGGTACATTATAGTGTGGAAGAAGGTTCCATAAGGTTTTCCTATCCACCCTCGAATGATTTCTCATAATCAAGGAAGTTGGTGTATAGTGACGAGTTCCATTCAATTGATTGTTCAACGATGATCCGTAATGTCTGTGCACTACCTATCCACACGGAATCCGGTCTATTGATCTCGAAGCTGGTCGTTTACTGAATCTTTCATCTGGTTCGGCAACACTGTTGAAAACGTTTCTTGGTACCGATACTAGTGTGATGCCTGTGCAGTTCTCACACTTGCTGAGATCTCCTTTCCTTGGTATCCTGATGAGATATCCTTCTTTCCGGTGTCTGTCTGTGTCTATCAGTATGTCGTCACTTGTTCCTCCTCCCAAATCCTCCTGAATGGAACATGGAACATGTTTGTGGTTACTCCGACGTGTGACTTGAATGATTCAGTTGGTAAATTGTCAGGTTCGATTGCTTCTACTGCTGTTGATGTTTTCCCACAGTTGATTTGTTTGATGACCGATCATCCTGATTTCTTCGATCGTCGGTGGAGTGACAGTTGTAGGAATGTGTGTATGTGTTGCCTCGATGTTCGTTGTGTTCATTGGAGCTGTTCTATTCAAGAGTTCGTCAACGTGTTCTACCTATCTGTTCCTGCCTTGTCTTGTTTGTCCTTAATCGGTCTCTCTGGTTTACTCTATTTCCCTGCTTGTTTCTTAGTTGCGCCATACGGTTTTCTGATATTTGCTTGTGTTACAGCTTTTTCCACCGTCGTTGTTAGGTGTTCCATGTATTTCTTCCTGTCGACTCTAATGCTCCTCTTCACCTGTTTGTTTGCTTTGTGTACTCAGCTTGTGCCCTGACCATCTCCGTTCTTCTTCGACTGTTGTTAATTGCATTGTTTTTGTTCTTCTTTTCTTGAATCCAAGACAGGAGTTCCATAGAGATCCATTCGTCATGATACTGCTTGTTGTGGTGCAGCACTTCCTGACACTTTGAAGTTGGCGTTACTTTGATCCCTTTCCAGTTGTTCTCCATAGTATTTTCCTCTTCTTCTTTGAGTAGATCCTGTAAGACTTGGAACCTGTTGTTGAGAGCTATCTAGAGTTCTTTGAGTTTTAATGAATTAGTCCGTTTGATAAATTTTATAATGTAATAAGACGAAGATTATCAGAACTATGTGATATATTAGCGCAATACATTTCGAACAATCTAATCACACATATACTTGTTAAGAACATTTATATATGAAAATTAAAGGTGTGTGGAGCGTACAAAAATTATAGTGATAAAAGCTATGTATTCTTTACAGATAGTAGTGAAGTACTGACGCATTTAACTTCATACCAAAAACTAAGCACTATAAAACTGCGAATTCAGCATATATTGGTTTAGAATCTATCAGTCAATACTGCCTGTACTTGAGATTACTGTTGTCACATTATATTCCGAATCAACAGAAGGTAAGTAATTATTCTTGATGTGAAAACTTGTTTTCTCTTCTTATACACTGAGTAAAAATTAGTTGTACATGTTAAAATTATGAGTGAACATTCAGGCGAAACATAGGACGTACAACTGTCTTGCCATAATACTATAGTTTGAGTAGCCTGGTCACATTGCTAGCTTTCATAATATGAGTATGACATATAACCTTCATAAATAGGTCTTTGTATTGTTTTAAAAGTACGTTGATATTGATGGGTGCAACGTCTGATCGGAATATTTTTTGTGTTCCTTGTATTCACTTAAGAAACCGTTTAATCTATATTAATTGCTTATGTCTAAAGGTTACGCCTTATGAAGGTAATACGAACAATTAATTCACCATTTAGCATCCAAGTTTAGAATCATTTTCCCTTATTTCTATTACAGGCCACTGTTGGCCCATGCAATGTATCAAAACCAGGAATTTTCGATGTCAGTGGTCGAAAGAAATGGTAAGTATGCTTGCGATTCAATAGTTCACATTTTACTGTACAAATTAGATCTGTTAAAAAATAATTAATGATAATTTACTAAATAGTTTTAACAGGTCCTGGATTGTTACCATTTGTCTGTTTGTTTTGTATTTATTGACACCCATCAAGTATCTGTGTTTTCAGCAGATATTTTTTTATCTTCCTGTTATAACTTGTCAATTGAATGCTGATTGTCTTGGCTCTTTTAATGCTAATTTTTATATCTGGTCGTTGCTGATTGTTGTGTCAGAAACGCTTATCACTTATACTTGAAACGAGGGACCTGTGCAATTTTCACGAAGAACACAAGACTGGTGAAGATTTATTAACTCCCAAAACACGACGACTCTAGTAGAAAATACACTCATTTATTTATTGATTGTACACCCATTTTGATTAATAATTAGGATGAAATCACATATATGAAAAATACTTAGTTATAACAAATCACATACTGGGCATAGTTCATGTCAATTGAATACAAGAATATCGTATATTATACAAAATAAAATATCATACGAGGAAACAAAACCGAATACTACACTGAATAATCATCACATTGAATCAAAACGGAAGTAATCTTGAACTAAACTCATATGTTTTCTTCCCGTCATATCACTTCCACTAAACTCATGAAGAGAAAACTCATTTTTAGACTATACTTATAAACAAAATAGGACCTGATATAAGTAGTTGCTGAAAAAAATATGCTGTTTTTCATATCAGAACGTTATCGGTTGATCGGTTTTTGTCACTAAATATGTTGATAGGACGAAAGCAAATGGGCAATAAACAAAAAAAACTACATTTTAAAGAGTTGAAATAGGAAATTCCTATGACTTTATTAATTATCAAATCGGTGTTCCATTGATATACTGTAGATTTTATAAATTTTTTTAAACTGTGTTTGTCTATAAATAACTTTTATTAATATTTGTGTAAGTTATGTTTTATCCAGGTTAATGGGGATTCAACAGTTGTTACTTTGCAACTTTAATTAGTTTATTTTATATGCCTTACTTTTATCACGGTTAGAGTTAAGTATCATTTGAATTGGAAATCTAATTTCTCTCCAAGTTGTTGTTAAGAGGGAAACAAATATATAATTTAGTATTGTTATATTTCTAAATAAAATCAATTAATTTATTGATTTCATAAATTATATACACACATGAGATTACTAATTACCCATCAATTCAATCCATTCAAATTCATTAATTGACTGAACATTTAAAATGACATGTAAATTTCTACTCCTGTGGATGTCGTTTAATTAGTGGTTAGTGAATAAATTAGTCTTCTTTTTCAGTCTTATTTTCTTCCTTTCGTCAGCATAACAGTCTCGTCCCGTTGAAATAAGTTTCATGTAGCGGTTATTCTGTCATCATAGTAAAAGGTTGTACCCGTAGTATTAATCAGCACTTAGCTCTAACTACAATACTGACAAATCGATCTTGTTTCAGGTCATCATAGCTAGTGTATTGGAGGTATTTTCACCAGCTGTAAAATCCAGTTCCAGATAATTTAATGTCTCCTCTACTTTAAATTAATAATATGTGTAAACTAAATAACATCTGCCTGAAAATACTAGTAAAATTCTTTCCTTTTTATTTTAAATTCATACATGATCATTGAATTTATATATTATAATCACATGTACAAATTTAGCGTGTTAGCAAAAACTTGACTGATATCAGTAAAGGTTATATAACCCAAACTTTAAGCGGTAGATATGTAGAAAAGGATATTAAACAAACATTATATTGACGTTATTCTGTATCCCTTCGAAATCATCCACTTGAAATATGTAAAAAGATACTACCAGTAAAAATTGTGTTGAAAAGGGTTCTTTGTATTCGTAAAATAACTCCATGATAAATTATGTGAAAATATAAATTAACCCATTCACCAGGTACGTGGATATAATCAGGTACTACTCGGTTGGGCAAACCGAGGTAGGTGGGGCTTAATTCGATTTTAACATAATTCAAGTAAAAACGATAAATGAACATGTTTGGATTTTTCATGTGTGTCTTGAAAATGCAACTCTGTTTAGCATAGTGTTAAAATTTCCATTAATAGAGTTTATTTTTCAATTGGATTTTAAATCAGGGTCTTATAGAATTACTTGAAATTGGAATAAAAATTGGTATTTTACATGATATTATCCGTGGATGTACAATTTTAAAAGACCAAGAGAAATAGGGTTCAGCGTAGTTACACACAACTTGAATTTAAAAAAAAAACTGAAAGGAAGCGAAAGGGTTGATAACAGTTATATGTATGATTACTGTACTACACAAGCAAATGACATGTTTTCATGAATCATGTGAAGTAAGCTAATATCCCAACTAAGTCCCTGTAAACCGGTGTTTTAATCCAGCAGCCCAATAGAAATCTCCAAAAATGATTAGAGCTACCTATAGTTTGGATTTTCTTCGTGTTTCTCTACAAAAATACATGACAATCTACATTTTCTGTAAAAAGTTCATCCCGAAGATTTAAAGCAAGATTCATCAGAAATGCTACTCATCCCTTCGATTTTTATATTACAACTGGTACCCAAATCCATTACCTATTTTTGCCATTCACAGGGTTGGTTATCCACTGGATTACTAAGTCCAAAAAGGCATTCGAAACATCCTCAGAGGTGTTAGTGGTCAGTAGGAGCCATAAAGCTGAGCCTACGTTCTAACCCCAACTGTAAGCTAATATCACAATACAATCGCAATTCATATTCTGGTCATATTTTTTTGTGAGTTTTATGTTGTTGGTCGATTTCAGGTGGGCGTGGCATGATCTTGGGAATATGCCTATCGATGAAGCACAAAAGCAGTATATTGATAAGCTACAAGAACTGAATCCTGAATGGAAACCATCGGTAACTTTGATTTATTTCCGTAACCGGAATTGTTAATTCATAAAACTATATTTTCTTAATTACCTTAACAATAGTTTCAGACAGAACGTTTTTGGTTCTTGAATCAATAATGTCTTTCCAAATTGTGTTTCTCAACTTAAATTCCAAGGGTTTATAGTGTCTATGGAAGCTGATATATGTTAAAACATACAAAATATATGTGCATAATATTCCAGTTCATGCTTGTAATGACTTTGCAGTTCAAAAGCCAAAATTCCTAAAACTGACAAGCAGTTTCGAAACCCGCTCAATATACTTTGGTCTGTTTTAATTTACGGCAGCAAAACATGGCCATTAAGAGTAGAAGATACTCGTAAGCTACTAGTATTTGACCACAGATGCCTTAGAAATATTGCTGGCGTCTGCTGGGATCACCGGGTAAGTAGTAGTGATATTTGGCGCAGGGTATTAGGTAATGATGGTAAATCAGTTGATGAGGTTGTGAAAATCCTCATCGACTAAGATGGTGAGACCACGTGTTACATATGCCCGAACACCGACTACCACGACGTGCAATGCTATCCGGTGTTCGGGATGGTTGGAAGAAATTTAGGGGCGGCCAAACCAAAACATGGCATCAGTGCTTGAAGTCACTAACTTCTATTCTGAGTCATGTTGGTGGATGCAGACTACTTGGTTGGGGTCCGCGTGACTATCGTGACCAATGGTTGGAGACTCTTGGTGACATGGCTCAGAGTCGATCACAATGGCGTCGGCGTATACGCTCTCTGTCTTACCTTAAACTGAGAGATTAAAATCTCTTCATATCTCTCTTTCTACGAACTAATTCTTTCTTCCTGTACTATATCCTTTTTGCAATCTTTCTTTTATATATTACCACCTCTGAATTAACTACTTTTATGATTCCGGTGTCCATCTTGTTGTGTTAATGAGGTATGGCAACTTGGACCGATGCATATATGTGCCTGGTCCTATGCTGTAGCTGACTGCCTTTGGTTGACACAACCAGGTAGCACCTCTAGCTGTTACACAAAAGGTCTCGTTCTGTATCA